CCTGATAATTGCTGCAGATCAAACTGATATTAAAGGGACACCTAAAGCGAACAGTTTAAGTTAGTATAGTTTTATTTATTTATTTATTAAACTTATATCCCGCCCTCCCCACCATGGCAGGCTCAGGGTGGCTAACAATTCATACATATAGGTAAATATCTTACCCTACTTACAAAATACTTTCTTGTGTATATTTTTTATATACTTTTATTGCTTTTCTTCCTACACACTACAAAAACTATACCCTACAAAACTAAAACTACAAAGAGAGTAACAAGACCCTTTGATAGGCTAATCAAATGCTTTGAGTATATGTCTACATGCTAAAAATTACATTCAATTCTTTAAAATCTAATAAAAGTGTTCAAATAGAAAGAACATAAAGGCATTTTTGATATTACATTACATCTGGTTGAGAATATAAGTAAATTAAATGTGAACATAGGTAATCTCAGATCTTCACTTAGATTTCTTCTTAGCTTTGGTTTTTTTCTTCTTTTATCAGGGAAGATTTACTTTAAAAGTTTTAGGGGCCGCAACTCCTAAATCCAAATCAGTCAGAGTCAAAGATTTCACCCAAAGACACGGAAGTAGCTGTAGAAGATGAATGATCCATATCGGATTTCTGTTGTTCGCTGTTTTTTTCCGTTGCCTTTTCTTCCTCTGCTCCATTTCTTTGTTTGGTTGAAGATTGTTGCTGTTTAAGAAAGAGTTCTGCTTTTAATAGAGAGTCCATCTTTTCCTTCTTCTCCTTAAAGTTGAATGTAAGTCCTTATGGAAAAATCCATCTGTATTGGACATTGTTCTTTTGGAGGAATGCTGTAATATTTCTGTACTGCTTCCTTTTCTTGCATATTTCAAATGGGACATCTTTCAATATTTTTATCTCCTCTTCTTGAATTTTAACTGTTGTCGCTGTAGATGCTTTAAGTATTGAGTCTCTTATAGATCTTTTTGCAAATTTTACAACAATTTCCCCTGAGAGATTTTTTTTTTTTACAAACTCTGAATAAATTCTGTAGATCATATCAATATCTGCTTGCATTAATTCAGGTTTGTTATTGATTAAGGGGGCCATTGCTTCGCTTATAATTTCTCTTAAGTTTTTCTCTGGCACCCCTTGAAATCTCAAGAGGAAAAGGATCTTTCCAATTGTAGCAGTAGAAGTTGTTGCTTTTCAGAAGTTCTTTCTTTTTCCACTTTGTCCATTCTTTGGTCTATTTCTTTGGTCTTAATTTCAACTTTTTTTATCTTTTTGGCTGATTTCTCTGATTTGACTGCAGTTTCCTTGAGCTCTTTCTGTAAAGTGTCGCATTTTTGGTTGAGGTTCATAAGCTGGTCCAGCAGAGGGCGCATGGCTTCAGAAATTGCAGTAGCTCTCGCTGGTATTTCCCGGTCTTGTGACTGGTGATGCTGTGCTGGCATTTCCTGTAGAGCCTCTGCCTCTGGACGCCATTTTACTCCCACGCTGAGACATTGTTTATACTTAGAAGTTTATAAAAGTTCTGAGATCTTTACTATGTTGTAACTGCTTAGCTCAGAAGTATTCTGCTTTGAAAAGGGTGTTAATCACCTGAATCCGGCTTGCTTCTACACTGCAATGTCGCTAGTGGGTAGGGTTCTTCCTCCGTGAGTCCCCCCCCTTATCTCTTTGAAGCTATGCCGTTTTGTTATGCCGATTTCTTCCTCCCCTCTTTTTGTATGACTTTCTCTTTGCCACTTAACTCACTGTTTGATTAATCTCTGGATTGCTTTGTCTCGTAGATTTTCTTTTTAGTTAAATTCTTGTATGCTCTGGTCTGGTAATGTCTCTGAGTGCCATTGCTGGCCTCGGGACAGCGGGACCTATCGAAGCAAAAAGGAGCACTGTGCCCCCAAGCCGGAACTTCAGGAGTGGCCCCTTTGGCACTCCAGGCTAGAAGCCCCCTCTCGAAGCCTCATGAGGAGGTCGGGACCAGCCAATCCCCCTCCCTATCACCCCAATCCGACTTGTCCCCATCAGAGCTTGATGGGGTGCAACCGTCGTGAGTCGCCATTCACCGGTAATCTTATTTTCCTGTGTATATGTACACAAGGCAAGCAGACACCCCTGGCTCCTATGTCAATAGAATGTACACATGCTTTTAAAAAAGAAGCCACAGATATGACTCATTTTCACACTGTGACAATCTGCAGCATACCTTCTAATTTGATAACATGAGGCAGCAATGATTTCCCCCCTCTTCCTTTCCATTCTCTGTTCCTTTCTTCATTACACCTGATAACTACCAGCACCTTTCTGCTACATTGCTTTGTATGATACTGCCAAATATGTACATGTCTGTACAGACAGAGTATCGTAAGGCAATACCCATAGAAATTGTTAGATAGTGGATTCCATGGATGAGCAGGCTCGAGTCCAGTGATCAGCTCAACTTTATTTGTGATTTCAGCAAGAGCAACACAAGACTCCAGAGCCTCAGCTCTGTTAAACAGTATGCAATTGCCACACCCAAACACACCCCACTCCCAGTGATAGGCTATTTACATAACATTACTACTCGATTGGTTACTTCCAGAGTCCTGGTAGGCTATTGTTCTTGGGCTCCAAGCTCAGCCAGTCTCTGGTAGAACAGTCTGGGATGTTTCAGTTGCAATACATAACAGAAGTCATTAAGAATAGCAAGTGTGGACAACCATCCCAGCATGGCAAACCAGTTTCAGCAATGCTTGCCCAATAATTTAAGTTTGCCATTGGTTTGACTCATACAGGATAGCACAAAGATAGCACAAATCAGTCACAACAACAATAACTGACAAGTGCTCTCCTACATGGTCACAATGTGAATGGTCACTAACATACAGGCATTAATAACTTTTAGGATCCAAGATACAGTAAAACATCAGATAAACTTTTATTAACTATCTACATAATTAGCATGGCAATCCTAAACAGAGTTACATACTACAGACTTCAATGGATTTAGAAAAGTGTAAATCTGTTTAAGATTGCACTGAGAATAATCAGCATTAGAGACAGAAACTTTAATTGTAGTTTTAGTCAGAGAGGATATTAAATACGACCCACTTAAAATGACATTACTCTAATTCACAGCACTCATTTTATATAAATCTAAGTTTTGCACAGAAATGTCAGATCCTGTACCTCTTGCAATGATTGGCTGCGATCACAGACACTAAATAATCCACTTTCAATGCACTTTCCAACTGGATTTTGCCAGTTCACACAGGACCTTTCTGCACTCTCCTTTTACTCCATGTTCTTATTACACACACACACCCCTTCTGCATTACATTACCTCCCTTTAGTGGTCAGCCTGGTTTCAGCCTGCTGTTGCCCTGGGTTATTTGGATGCTATTTTGCCATGGACTTAAATTGCCTCAACTTGAACACTGAGGCTGCGGTCACACGGAGCATTAGCCACGCCACAGAGACGGAAGATAGGCGGATTTTCCAGGCGCGATCACACCGCAACAACTGGGAAGTGTAGAGCTCCCGTGGTGAACCCGAGGCTTCCCGCCGAAGATGCGGAGTTAAAAACTAGTACCTCCAAGGTACTAGTTTTCGGAAACCACGGGGCAAGGGCTGGAGCCTGATCGCATTTTCGGTGGTGGCATCCGGTGCCCGCCCATGTCCCCTTCGCAAACAGGTTCCCCCCCCCAAGTCTCCACAAGATGCGCACAAGCACCCAATGGCGCATGCGCACAAAGAGGAAAGCGAAAGTGCCGTTTCTGCTTTAAAAAAAATAAATGACCCCGTTTCGGCGCCTAGCCACTGCAGGATCGTCGTGTGATCACCACCCTCGTTTACCTGCCGGCGCGGAGGGACTGACCCGTGGTGTGCCGCCGGCATGTCTGATCGCGTAATCGCGGATCAAACTGCGCGGGGCAATTAGCCACGCCTCCCCCCGCGATATCCGGCCCCTGTAACCGGGGCCAGAGAAAATCTGGAGTGGCAGGCAAATGCAGAAAGGACCGCAAGTAAAATCCAGTCAGAAAGTGCACTGAAAGTGGATTGTTTAGTGCGTGTGACCACAGCCATTACCTTTTTACCCCACTGCTTACAATATTTTCCTTCTATGGCGTGTGTGTCTGCCTATACACACATAGGTATACATACACTCACTAAGAACACACATACATATATGTATATACATATGCGCACACACTAACGAAGAACACATTTGAAAAAGTAGACTTCAGCCTATGAAAGCCTATGCCCGTGTAAAACAAAAATGCTACCATTTAAAATGCCACGAGATCAATTATTGATTTATTGTACATCGCAAAACAACACAGCCCCTTCACCAAACTTCAGTTCTTTAGTTGACATCCATACCCGCCGCGAACGAGCTGCGACCACAAATATATATTTCCACATGTACACAAACCCTTCGTCCGTTTATTGCTGGTCCCCGTTTTGTCGCTCTCTCCCAGGCTGACAGGAGCACTGAGATGATCGATGACTCGTCGATCGAGGCGCGATGGAAACTGCCTGGCGGAGGGGCGGGGCAAATCCGCGCGGGAAATAGAAAAAGAGAAAAGAGTCGTCCCAGTTCTCATTCTGCTGTTCCGTCTCTGGAGCCTTTGCGCGTGGCCTCTCGGCTAACTGCTCCCCGGTGTTTCTTTCACTGTTCTGAACAATCTGCCGGAGAGTGTGGTTGACGGCTGTCGTCTCGGTCGCCCTTGCTCCTCGCTGAAATAGTTGCCGCTCT